GCAGCCCCGCCGGAGGCCTCGCAGGGTGCCGTCAAGGAGGCCGGTGGTACCGAGCAGCCGGACCCCTCCACCATGACTCCCCAGGTAAGGCAGCGCCCCCTCCGCACTCCCCCCGGCTGGTAGCAGGCAGTCGCCTGGGCAGCGGTGGCGATGAACTGCTGGCGGGTACGAGGTGTTGCGGAAGGCCTTCGAGTAAGGGCAGTTAATAACCACGCCGCATTTGCATAACACTTAAAGGGTTTGGACGCAACCCTTGGACATGCGGGAATGGCATGGCTCAGGCGAGGTTCCCTAAATGCATCTTTATCCAGTGGTTGTTGTTGGCGTGTATCAAATTGTCGTTTTTCAGGAGCAAATGAGCTGTTTAGGGAAAAATCTTAAATCCTGACAGAATTTAGTTTTCTTGCGGGGTTTGCTGGTGTTTAGACAATTGTTTTCCAAAGTACAGCACGTGGGTGACCTGCATTGAACCTCTGCTGACTTCATCTGGGCTGTTTTAAGATGCAGCAGCCTGCTTATTGCACCTTGCAGGATATGTGCCTCTGGTCTTCAGTGATTTCTTCGTTTAGTTTTCTCCCGGCGTTTTGTTTCAGTTGTCTGTCTGATCGTTGTAGAATTGTCACTATTTTAATCTTGCCACACATAGTTAAAGCTCCAGAAGTGTTTCTGTTCATAGTACGCAGTTGCCCTTTACTTAGGCTTACTTACACGTTTTATGCTACACATGCTTGATTTTCCAGCATAAAATTGTATGGGACATTAGAGGGAAATGTTCTGAAATTCTCCTGAGGTGAAAAATATTGTTACTGCTCTGTGCTTTTTATGTGTACACTAGGGCCAAAATGCAAAATGTTCACATGCTTCACTTCATAAACGTGAGCAGTTCCAGTGAACCTGATGTGACCGTTGGTACGCATTAAGTTAGGGACAATCCACTTGCTTAAGGTTAAGCATGCACAAAGATGTGTGCTGAGGTCCTTGGCTATGTTTACAGGTCAGTCAGATTCAGTGAGGCTTTTGCATGGTTTTAGGGTCGGCTTGTAGAGATCCAGCTGCAAGAACAAAGCTGAAGTGCGTGCTTTAATTTTCCTTTATTTAAGCTTAAAATACATCTTTTGTCAAATTGATTTTAGGATTCTGATTTGAAGCTAAGTTTGTAAAAATCCCGTTGCATCATATTGAAGTCACTGACACTTAAAATTTGTTAATCGTTGGGACACCTTTTTAATTGTATCCATTAAAATTTCATACCAATACCTGAATACATTTGGGAACATATAAATTTTAAGGTTGCACCGTATAACTAATTACTGCTTAGCAAAGTGGTGCTTGCAGTTCATGTATTTAATTTTATGAAGGTTTTGGACAGTAGTAGTTGATCTTTTATAGTGATATCAATGACTCATTGAATTTTTGAGTAACAAACCCAAAACCTTGAAAAATCAGGTGTAGAAAGTGATGTTAATTTGGTATTGAGGCTGCTTGATGACTTCTTAAATTATTGAACTCGAGATCAAACAGTAAACTGTAATTCCTCCCCCCTTATGTAGCCTGAAATTTCAGTAATGTTATTCATTTGGTCCTCAACCCCTCTCATTTCTAGAAGAGTCACAAGTAATGCATTATTGTGGTGCACACATAGCAGAAGCAGAATACTGCTGAAGTTTGCGTTGTCTGGTTTATGAGTGTTTACGCAAACAACTTCTATCTTGAGTAGTTTGTTTACTCTCATGCACAATTCAATGTTAATTCAAAAGGAATATGGTACATTGCTGGTAATAAATTTGTTATAACAGATTGATACGATTTTGGCTATCTTAGACTGTAAAATGAGACAGAATTTGGAGCAACAAGTCCTTACACAATGGAAATTGGAAAGCAAAGTGTAGTGATGCTTTCTTGCTAATGATCTTAAAAGCCAAGTAGAGAAATACTACAATTTGTGATTTATAAGATCCTATCAAGCTTTTGTTTAAACTGGCTATTGAAACAATTCTTTCTCCTCTCATCCCACAGTATCAGTGACTGCAGCCAAATAGATCAGTATTCTTAACATAGAAAATATTATGCAATTTGCCATGAGCTAGTGTTTTATTATTTCCCTTTCCTGTCTAAGAATAAGATACTACTCTTTGCCTTGACAATATTGTAAATTTAGCGTAGTTTCTTGCGTGGTGTACAGTTGGATTAAATTGCGGGATTCTTGTGTTTCTCTACAATGAGATGAATCTTTCGTCAAGTTCTGTTAAAATACCTGTGGTATTTCATTAATGTTCCATCTGATTTTGGGTACTGTATGCTGCTATTTATTTACAGTAGTAAACAAATATGTGAGTGCATCTGTACCCATAAATATGCATTTATCTACATCTGTTAAAGCTACCTTAATTCAACCATGTCACCTTTCAGCAGACTGCTGCACTCTTTAAAATCCCCCCTCTGTTTTATAAAGGGTGCTAAACAATTCTTTTGCATTCTTTACCAGAAAAGGACCAAGTGTACCCCAAAGTAAGCATTATGTTATGACCTAGAGTCACCTAAATTCATTTTGAAGTAGCCTTTTGGTGTGGGCTCTGCATTAATGTTTTTGGTGGTATGTCTTGTGGTTAGGAGCTGATAATGCTAGTTTCAGTGTTCCCTGTACAATACAACAGGTGTAGTGTCTTGGTGAGCCAAAGATGGAAAAAGGCATATGTTGATACTGGTGTATTCCTTGGGTTTAAGGATTGTAACTGGACTTGAAGAATGACAGTCATTGTGAGGAGATAAGCACTCAAATAACTGGACTTTTTGCCATCAGGAATTTTCTACACTAGCACCTCTGTTTTGCTCTGACTAAGCTATAGAAATATACCTTTTCACTTTTCTCACGGTTTTCAGATAAAATTTGCAATACATGCGTCACTGACTTAATCTGCTGAAAAAGAATTGATGATAGGGTATTATCATAGCTCTTTATATGAACCCCTGGTCATATTATGAGTTTTAGTCCCTTGTCCAATTGGTATAATGAGGAGGAAACGAAATAGATCCATGGAGACAACAATTTTGTGGCAGTAAAACAGGTGCTCACCAAGCGTAGCATCCAGTATCATCATGGTAGATCACCTTATAATGCCTTTTCAGACGGATAACTGAACCAACTTTTCTATTACTGTGGACGTATGCTCCTTCTTGGTGTTGAAAGATGCACTTATTACACCATGTTGTTGAAGGTTTCTGAGAGAATCCATGCTGGAGTGTGAATGCACATCTTCCACCCAAAGCCATGACAGCTCTTCTGAGTCAATGTTCTTGTTAAAAAGATTCTTGGCAGGAGTTACAGCAGGATCAACATAAAGTCCAAGAAGCATAGCCTCTCCTTTTATTGACCTCATCTTCAAGTTACAGTGTTACAGAAGTTTGGTGGGTTGTTGTTTTTTTAATGTACAATTCCATGTTTAATCATGTCTGCTAGATTGCTACCAATTGAAAACATTGTTCCTGGTTTGAGTGTAAGGTAGGCTTTTGGAGGAAGCTTACACTTCTTTTAAACCTGCTTTAAGATAGAATGGTTCAGTTTTGAGAAATCTCATCAGACAGCACCTAGCACTTTGTTGTTGCCACACTTATATTTTAAAATACCTGCATCTTTTCGATTCTTTTCTGTTTCTGAGTGGGCTTTATATAGGTGTCTCTTAACTGTGCACGCTTGGATGGAAGGGGAGAACAGAGAATATGAAAGATGTAGAGCAGTCACAGATTCTCAGAGGTGGTGAAGTTGACATGAGAGCATAAGAATGGTTGCACTAGGTCAGACCAAAAGTACAGTATATTATCATTCTGTCTTTGACAGTGACTAAAGCAGATGCTAAGAGAATAACTTGAAAATCAACTATGTAGTGATACTTCCTTAAAATATAGGAGCTGCCTTAGCTTCAACTGGTGTCTTTATTTTTAAAACCACTAGATTTTTCTTCTATGAACTTATGGAGCTGTGTCTTGAATCCACAAAATTTTAGCCCTTGCAGTGGTCTCTGGCAGGGACTTCAGTAGCACAAGGCCATGTCAGGTGAAGAGCTGCCTCCTGCATGTTTTAAATGTGTCCTGCTAGTCTGATTTGAGGCCTGATATTTCCTTGTATTAGAGAGATGCAGAACTGATGGTTCCTATTCAGGTCTCTTTTAAGATGAACCACTACTTAAGTGTTGACATACTTATCTTTAGTATTTTGTTCTTTATGTTGGTGGCAGTTTACATTGCTTTGAAGCTCCTGTCATCTGCCTGGATAATTCTAGCCTGAAATATTAAAACTGAAAACTTGATCACTTCTTAAATGGATAACTTTTTGGGTGCATCCGTATCTATTTACCTCTTCAGCTGTTGAATGAA